TGAGGAATTTTTTTCCATTGCAACAATGCATCTGCTTATTTTTCAAAGGATAGTAAGGGCTGTCCTATAAGAATTTTGTTGGGAAACCTTATCCTATCTGCCCTACAGCTCTGATATTATACTTTGAGACTTCTTTTTGTTCCCCAAACTCAAAGAACATTTAAAAAGAACATAGTTTGAGTACGTTGAGGTATTCAAAAACTGCCATTTTGACCTGGTGTAAATTGAAGAGCATAGAATTCTCTGGGAAGGGTTAGAGAGATGGCTACATCTAGATGGAGGAAATGATGAGAAACAAAAAGCTCTGTATTTTAATATTTTTGTTTAATATAGGTTTCTATGATTTTATAGCAATACATTTTGACTCAGCCTTGTATAATTACAACTTGTAATTGTATTTGGGAGGAAATTTCAGTCAGTATAAGACAGTATAACAGGTGATATAATTTGAGAGTCAGGAAAGAACTCTCAGAGGAAGTGACAATTTAAATTGAGATCTGAACGATGTCAGGTGAATAATGGGGTGATGAGCAGTGGGATCAGCATAAATGAAGACTCCCAGATAGTAAAGGACTTAATAATGCAGTTGAGGAAATGAAAGAAGGCCATGTGTCTAAGTGGCCATGAATGTGTTTGAGATGAGGCTGGAGCAGAAGGCAGGGGCTTACCAGCCATGTATAGAAGCCCCTGAGGGGTTCTGAACAGGAGAGGCATAGGATCGGATCACTCTGGCTGCTTGTGGAGAATGGACTGGAGGGGGCAAGAAGAGAATTAGAGACCAGTCAGAAGGCTACTCGGGTGGTTCCAGTAACAGATGTTACTGTGGTAATGGAGACAAAGATGGGTTTGAGACAAAATTTGGTGGTAGTATTGATAAAATGAGGATGAGGGGAATGAAAGGAAGAGGACAAGGCTGATTCTTAGGTTTCTGGCACAAGCAGTTGTATAGATCAAAGTGTTTACAAAATCTTCCTTTCAAAAGAGTGTATTCCTAAAACATTCATATGAGATCCTTACTTTCCCCTCTCAGTGCTGGCAACCTGCCTCAAGTTATTATACTTCTTACGTAGGAAGCTATTGTTCCTTCTCACTAGCTTCCCTACCTCTTCTATATGCCCACTTCAAACCATCCTACACAGTATTATCTTTTCAAACACAACTCTGGTCACATTATTCTTCATTCAAAAATCTCCTATGACTTCCCTCTCACCTATTAATTAAGCTTTTAAGGCTCCACAACCTACCTTCTTGGCTTTATTTCCTACTTCTCTACATCAGTCCTGTTTTGGCTGAGCCAGAGTACTTGATGTTCCCTGACCATGTTACCAAACATTCCTACTTCAGGGTCTTTGCTCATGCTATTTTTCTGTCTTACCGTTTCAGTCTGCTGAAACCTTACTCATCTTTCAAAGTCTGCAATCTATTCTACCTTTAAATCTCATAAAGCTTTGCACTTCTCTTATGGCACTTCGATTTCTGCCTTTTATTGTGGTTATTAGTATACTTATCTCATGCCTACTCCCTATCCCCTAACTGATCATGATAACCTTGAGTGTATGGCTCCACTATTCACGTAGCACGTCCTTGGCCTGGCAGGGTTAAGCATAGTGCTTTGCCCAGAGTAGATGCTCAGTAAGTTTTTAGTGAATATATTTGGAGAAAGTCAAGTTATTAAATAACTTGATGAGTGATGAGACCAATGATGAAGGAAGAAGGAAGAATGTTTTCCAGTAGCATTTGCCAGCGCCAGAGCTTATAGCAAAACTCATCCGTCTATCATATTCCATGCAATCATACACACACAAACATACACACATCCTCAAATAGAGTCTTCTGGTGGTTCAAAATACTTATATACAGCATGTCTATGTAAGCTTACTCCTTCTTCAACATATTTCATATTAAAAAAATTAGTTTCTAGATTAGGATCTTTCAAACTACTTGGTGGGATCTATCAATGGACTATGAAACCAATTTAATGAGTCATAAACAGAGTAGGAAATGACTGAACACACGGCCTATAGTAAGGTAATTATTGTCTCCTGAAACTTTTGTTTCAAATGCATAAATATATGTATGTACTGGGTCATGAAATAACATATTTCTTAACATGGGCCCTAGTCAAAAAGGTTTGAAAGCTAAGAAAGGTGTTAAGAAAAAAATAATGAGGCTACCTGATTAAAATTATTTATACTTTAAAATGTGAATGATGTATCTAACTCCCTTTCCTGTTTAAGGAGAGGTATTTTTAACTCAAACGAATCTCTAATTGGTAGAAAGTAGACCAGAAGTCATTTTGGACTCTCAGCCTTCTTGGGACTTCTGGAAGGATTTCCTCCAGTATCCTATATCTCACCTGCTTCTGCCTGTCCTGTTCCCTGAGAGAGCTGGGATAAGGAACCAGATACTCCACTTCTGAAAGACTATTGGTTTCTAGGCTACAGTACACCGAAGTGATAATGCCTTTATAAAGGAAACATTTACAACCAGCACATACTCTTATGCACATGTCCAGCTTACCAATTTACATTTACAGGTATGGCAAATTTCTGCATTCCAAGATTTAACCTATATCTAGAAAATACAATTCTATGTATCACTACAAGAGGGTTCTGGTAGCATAGTGGGTTACAAGTTGGGCTGGTAACCACAAGGTCAGCAGTTCAAAACTACCAGCCAATCCTCAGTAGAAAGATAAGGCTTTCTGCTCCTGTACAGATTTTACAGCCTTGGAAACCCTACACAGGGTCACTACGAATCAAAATGGACTCCATGGCACACCATCACCATGAAGAAACATGAGACTCCTAAGTTGATACAAAAATGAGAAATACTGAGTTACTGATGCCAATGGCATATAGTAGGCTAGAAAAGGGAATATGAGAAATAGTAGAATGGGCCAGGGGTCACAGGAATGTGATAGATGTATGATATTAGTATTTATTACCTTGATGACTGGCGGTAATGAGAGAAGATGAGAGTGACAGGAAGTAATTCTCTAGTCAGTCATAGACCTTGTATTTAGCTACAGCCCACCAGGAGTGCAAACATAATATCTGATTATGTCAGTACACAAAAGATAAATTCCACCACTAGCTCCATTTAACAGGTGCCTCTGATAATTCATTGCTACTTGTGTTAACATTCTTAATTTATAGTTGAAAAATCACAAGTAAATTTCCTAACTAATGAGTGTAAGTACTCTTAATCACTAATTACAGTCCCAACAGATAAGTGGGTCAGAAACAAAAAGTTTCTTGAAAGAGTAGGAAGTTCAAAACTGGTATTGTGCAAAGAGCCCTAGATAAGGGTGCTGCTCAATTTGGGCTATGCTTGGGTGACACAGTGCAATTCACACAACCTAAAGTCCTACCTCCAAACCTTATAATTCTGGGAGGCAGGAATAAGACGACTATTATTTGTAAGAAAGGAAGATCACTTTGATTTGATATGTAATAGGCAAATAACAATGATATTAGCCAAGGTTGTTTAAATATGAATTCATGCCTCTCCCATTATCTAGATTGGGCTATCACTCTTTAGTGGTGATATCTTATATCAATGCCTCTACTGACTCCTGGATCAATTTCAAACTCCCTTCTGGCATTTAAGGCTTTTCCAATCTGCAATTTTATTCATACTTCTAAAGGTTCAGATCTCTAACTCTGCTCCAGCACCAGTCCTAATTCCTTATCATCATTTTAAGCTTTGGCTTAATTCTTCCCCACCCCCACTTTCCTAGCTAAATTCCCATGTTGTTGTTAAGTGCCACGTAGTTGGGTCCAACTCACAGCGACCCTGAATAGGGTTTTCAAGGAGTGGCTGGTGAGTATGAACAGCTGACATTTTGGTTTAAACTGACCTTGCATTCCAGTGCTTATCATACAGTGCCACACCAGGATTCCTTCACAAAACTTTCCAACTACTCAAATATACATGTATCAGATCTTGATCTTTGACTTCTACAGAATTACACAGCAATCCTATGAGATATGTAATATTATTCCCATTTCACTGATATGAAAATTAAGGTCCAGAGAGCTCAAATGGCTTGCTTAGGGTCCCAGAACTTGCAAGCAGCAGTAGAGTTGGGTTTATCTTTAAAGCCCACACTTTTTTCTCATTATATCATGCTATCTCCATTTATTAAAAAGCTGTGGATCAAGGATGCAGTGAAAAAGCCCATAAACCAGTTATAAAGCAGCTTGTGACCCAAATTCAGATGTACCACATCCTTTAAACTATATGGACAATGAACGCTTGGGATAGCATGAGTAGTTTTTAAGGGAGTTGTTAGTCCTGTTTCCCAAGCCCAATCATAAAATGTTATTCCAGGGTAAATGACAAGACGGTAGCTAAAGGGTTAAGGGGAAAAAAAAAAAAAAAAAAGGCAATATGGTATACCAAACCAAAAGCCCACTGTCACTCTGGTGAATTTGACTCATAGTGACCTTATTATATAGGCTTATAAGAAGAAAATATTATAGAAATGAGACAGTAAAGAACCGAAAGTGTAATATAAGCTGGCAATGCACAAACTACTCATTATATGGAAGTATGGAATATAGGGCATTGGAGGCCTAAGTCAGGGGGCCTATACTTACCGATAAATGCACGCGTATGTGGGTTATTAGTAAGACAGGAGTACACATGGGCAGAGTGTCTAACTCAAGAGGGCGACAAATAAGGGCAGGTCGTGCGGGCACGGGGAAAAGCATGGCATAATAAGAGGGTAGGGGGCGCCGAATGAAGGGCCATAAGGGTATATACAGCAAGGGTTGCAAAAGAAGGTAAAGAGGTTCAGAGGGCACGGCTCCCCAGCCACCGGCCAGGACCGCTTTATTTCACTGAACAGCAGGTTGGTGTATTTCAGGATTCACACCCACACCCAAGGTAGCCCTCCTAGGCGGCTCCAGGAAGAGAAGGAATTGGTGTCCCCCTTTCTCTTCCATCCTCCAAGGACTTCGAGAGGGGGAGAAGGGAAGCAGAAGGGTCCTTACCCAGGAAGATGGAGATGATGAGCCGCAGCGCCTGTTCTGACGCGCCCAGGGACGTCGCCAACTTGTTAAGGCTCAGCTCCTCGAAAACCGACTGCAGCACCGTCACCGGCTCCGCGGCAATTCCCACGTCCCCCTCAGTGGCGGACGCCATCTTAACTCTGGGCGCCCCTCAGGGACACCCCCAACTCCACGCGCCCCGAATGTGGTCAAAACGCTGTATGTAGCTTTACCCCCAATTCCGGCCCGGGGTCCGCCCACGGCGTGCGCATTGGTTGAAGGCCCGCCCAGTGGCTCCAGGATTACACTGTTATTGGTCGAACCGGGTGAAGGGCGTGGCCGACTGAAGCAAGGTACGAAGAAGGCGGGCCTGAACATTTGTAAGGCAAAGGTGACTCCTGCTGAGAAAGAAAACCCGGTAGGCCGAGAGATGGGCGGGGCTTGGAACCGGGAACTGGAGTTTCTATTGGAAAATGCTAAAGCCGGCGGCGAAGTGACTGTACAACTCTCTTCTAATTGCTTCGGGGAGGAGTCCGAAAGGAAGAGTGTTCGGCCGGCTCGTTCGCTGTCTTCCCATTGGCTGAAGCAGGAGCAGGCGAGAGTCCGGGCGGGGCGGGGGACCCCGTCACCCGACAGCGAGGTTACTGTCGGTCGCTTGCACGCTGGGGTTAGTGGGGCTGTAACGGAGAGGGCGGGAATTCCTGCTGCAGCTTCACGAGCGCCACCTAACGGGTCCTCCCGGGCTGTTCTTAAACCGTTAGACACGCCCAGAGGGTCCCAGAGAGCCCAGTGCCTTGTAATACTTATTTGCCTGCTTTTTTAGTTTCATGGATTAATTTCGTGTATCAAAATGTTAGTATGTTACTTCCAAGTAATTTCTTACATTAAAATATTACTTTGTACGGAGAGGCCATGAAATGAAGATACACGTATTTCATACTTGCGATTTAAGTTCACAATTAAATTAGTTTTGTCATGATTTAAAAAATACATTTACATGATAAAAATTCAAACTGCATAAGCCCAAACCCCCCAAACTACTGCCACTATGCTGATTCTCGTAGTTGTCCTATAGGACAGAGTAGAATTGCTCCATGGCGTTTCCAAGGCTGTAAATCTTTACTGAAACAGACTTTCGCCTGTAGTGGGTTCAATTGTTGACCTTTTTTGGTTAACAGCTGACGCTTAACCACTGTGCCACCAGGTCTCTTCATCAAACAGCATTATTGCTGTTGTTAATTGCTGTGGAGTGGGTTCCGACTCATAGGGTTTCTGAGGAGAGGCTGGTGGGTTTGAACCGCCACCTTGAGGCTCAAGTCGACCATGTGGTCCAGTGCTTATTCTACAGCGACACACCAGTACTCCAACAAACAGCATATAAATGTATAAAACAGAAATAAAAGTACACTCTTCCGGCCCTGGTTTCCACTTTCTGCAGGTAGTTGATGTCCTGAGTGTCCTAAAAATGTGTTTAACATTTACATGTGCCAGGCACTGTGCTGGGCTCTGGGAAATGTAACCATGAGCCCAAATTCATTGAGTGGGTGAGATGCACAGATAATAGCACAAATGAGTGTATAATTGTAAGCAAAGATATGTGTTCTTAAGGAAAGGAACAAAATTCTATGACAATGTGATAAAAGAACCCTAAGAGTTTCTTGTAGTAACTGGAATTTGTGGAGTATAGCACTTTGCACTCAGTAAGACACTTTTATCCATATTACTTAAATTGCCAGTGAAACAGACAGATTATTAATATGATGTCCTTTTTTTATACTTTACATATATTCTCTACAGACATAAAATTTTTCACTAATTTATTTCCCTATAAATGGTAGAGACAGAATTGAAAACTAGGTCTCAGACTCCTCCCTTCTGCTTTTATTTATTTTATTTTTCTAAAAAATATTTAAAACATATGAGCTATTTCAGTCATACAAAAATAAAAAAGCAGAGAATAATGCAATTTTCCCCAGCAACAAATATCACATTCACAGTCAAACAGTCTAGTGTATCCTTTCCTGATGGCATTTCCCTTCTTCTCAGAGGTTCTGTTTTGCTGATTTTGATATTTCTCAATCCCATGCTTATTTTTATACTTTACATATATATATCCAGAAACAATATATAGTTAAACCTGTGAAAGCTGGAACCAGTATAGGAAGGAACCCTGCCAGAGAAGGAAAACTAAATCAAGAGCAAGGCACTGTAGGATAAGCACTGGCCTGCTAAGTACAAGGTTAGTGACTCAAACTTACCAACCACACCTCAGAAACCCTATACAGGGTCATAATGAGTTGGAACCAACAGCAACATGTTTCTTACCAACTGAATGTGTGAACATTTTCTGGTAATTTCTTGTTTTAACTTTATAGTTATTATTTTACTATATTAAAATATAAATAGTGGCTGGTAGTGGTTGTGTGCCATTGAGTTGGTTCTGCCTCTTAACAACCTTGTATAGAGTTTCTGTGGCTGTAACTATTTACAGAAGCAGGAAGTCTCATCTTTCTCCTGTGGAGTGGCTGATGGATTTGAATTGCTGATCTTGCAATTAGTAATTCAATGGGTAACCCACTGCACCACCAGGCCTTCTTTAAACTATGTATATGTAACAAAACTTTTGTCATTTAAATCATTTCAAGTGTACAACAGGGGCATGAATACATTTACTATGCTGTGGGACCGTCACCACAATCAGTTTCCAAGTCTTTTCATCATCGCAAACAAACTCTATAAACATTGGTGTGCATATATCTTCTCGTGTTGTGGCTCGTTTTTTCTTGTGGGTAAATACCGAGTATAGAGGTATTGCTGGATCATAAGGTATTTCTATTTTCAACCTTCTGAGGAAATGCCATATTGTTTTCCAGAGAGTCTGGACCATTTTGCA